GCTGTACCTCAGAATGGTGTTTTAAAAAAAATCAAATTACCGCAAATAGGAGGCGCAAACAAATTCCAACGTCCAGCCTTCGGAAATAGTCGAGTATATACAACTGATTCAAACGGCGTTCTTTATTGTCTCGGAGCACCTGTCAATCTTCCTCGTGGGTGAAGCTCTTTTCTTAAATCACTCTTCTGTCTGATTGTTGTGAATGAAACAGTACTTTATGCTAATCTATTGTTTAGTAAATTGTACTTCTCCAATTGATTTCGGCACCGTTGCACTTGGAGATACATCTATCCAGACTGTCAATTGTACAACCAACATTGCGATTACTTCAATAAATGGTGCAACTGTTGGAAATGGGTACTTCTCCGTTGATAATTCAACATTGCCAATAGGTCCCCTGAAAGCGGGAGCCAAATTTACATTTCCTGTCACCTGGGACTTGATCAATGTTCAAATTGGAGCCACGGCGAATACATCTTTTGGAAATGTATCTCCTGGAATAAAAAGCACGCCTCTGACAATTTTAACGACAAATGCTGTCCCCGGCTTTGCTGCTCTCTATCCAATAAGCTTAACTGGTACAGAGGTATCCTCAAATCCCTTTCTAGCTATTGCTCCAACTACAGTGGATTATGGCGGAATTATCATCACAAATGAAAGTGACATAAATCCCCAATCAGCTATCTTTACGATATCAAATAAAGGGTTGATGGCTATGACAATTTTGGGGTATGCATACACTGCGGATGACCTAGATGATAGTCCGATATTCATCAACAGCACCGTGATAAATGGGACATGGGATTTGGGGTTTGATTACTTCAGTGCAGTAGGTCTTCCGGAAATTGGAAGTCAAATCGCCCCTAGCTCGCAGATATCTATAAAATCTTCCTTTGAACCAACCAACGGAACCGGATCATATAATTCTTATTGGCAAGTCTGGTCCGATGGAGGTACAGTCAACATCATCCTTGAGGGTATTGCCTCAACGGCTCCAATAACCAATTTTTCGGTTAGCAATGGCGAAGGTGGATGGCTTCCTCAAGCTAACCTTCTTATGGACTTTGGCAAAGTCGCACCTGGAAGTTCATCTTCCCAGCAGATTCGAATTTGTAATGTTGGAGGCTCCTCATTGGAGATCAGTAAGAGCAAGCCACCAAATGGCGTTTTTCACATTAGTGACCCGACGGAATTGCACGAATCACAACAGATAGCTGTCAATGATTGTGCATATGGAACCGTTATTTTCTCAGCAAATGTGGAACAATACAATCAGCCAGACCTTCTGCTCAACAATACTTGGACTTTGAATACAGATGATGTCAACTGGGGAGTTCACGTTGTCGAAATCGCTGGGACTGTCATCTCGAAGAAGGTTGGCCCAGTAAATTCTACTACCGGCGAAACAATCTACAATTATCTCGGATGCTTTCAAGAATCTAACATTGGACCACGTCTACTACCCAATCAAGGGTATACACCTAACGTCACTGCAAATAGCAATAATATGTGCCAAGAAGCATGTTATGGACTCGCACAATACAGCTTTGCTGGTACAGAATATACTAGCCAATGCTGGTGTGGCAAGTAAGTTTTAAGGGTTCGCTATTCTCTTTCGCTTTACTACCTACATTTGTTCCTTGATCTCATCCTTCATGTTATTTCATTCTATGTACTATTTATGTTTCTTTGTGTAGCATTCACGTTTCGTTTTCTTCACTAGCTTCATTTCTCTTCGAAATTTGCCCTTTATGCAATCCCAGGGTCGAGGATCTTCGCGTTCCGCCGAATCCCCTCAAACACTATCTGCGAGTTCTAGGTAGCACCTGGGCATTGGTCGATTGATCCCCGAGGATCGATATTGGGTTTAGCGTATTCATAAGCGAGGACGCTAGATCCAATTCTGGCCCTTTATGGGATTACGCACGAGAAGTCGCCTCGGACCAAATACTGGAGGATCTCCCAAAGCCCTTTAACATTCAGATTGTTCTTCTATACAATGCTGACTGCTTAATTTTACAGTACTCCACCACCTCTAGCCTCACAGGATCCTACTAATGCATTGTGCAATTTTGCTTGCCCGGGTGACCCGACCGATGGATGCGGAGGAACTGGCTATATTTCCGTTTTCTATAACCCTACAGAATATGTGGCTGGATCTGATCCAGCATTGTATGGTCCCAAGACAGTCAATAGTGTCGGCAATTACAGTTACTTGGGATGTTATAGTGAAACCACAACTGGTCGTGCTTTGGGTGGTTTTAGCCCTCAAGCACCATCTACAGGATTTACAATCGAATTATGCGCAACTGCTTGCAAAGGATTTACATACTTTGGTATGGAGTATGCTAACGAATGCTATTGTGGGAAGTGAGTAATTTCCTCGTTTGACTACAAAATTCTACCTTGCAATGCTGACTCCGCGAATTTATAGTGCGTTAGGTGTCGGCTCGGTCAATCAGGCTAGTGTCACTCCAAGTATTAATGGATGTTCCATGCTTTGTAAGGGTAATACCAAAGAATATTGCGGTGGACCAGGAAAACTTGATGTATATATGCTGAACACAGCCACTTCTTCGTCGCCATCTATGATCTCGACTAGTAAAACTGCGTCTACTACCAGCTCAAGTGGTACTTCTTCGACTTCTACGACAGAGAATACTACATCAACTTCCACATCGACTTTGCCGTCCTCAACATCTCCAACAATATCAACAACTTCAACAATCTCGGCAATTCCTACACTCACAGGGCCCATCACGGTAATGAATGTTACCGGCTATAACTATCTAGGATGCTACAGTGAAGCGACTGCAGGTCGTGCCCTCTCTGATCTACGGCCTGCGCTTCCTATCGGAGGGTTCACAATAGAATCTTGTCAATCAAGCTGCTCGGCTTTTGAGTATTTCGGAATGGAGTATTCTAATGAGTTAGCCTGCTCTGACCTTGATTCCCTGTATTATCCTAGCTAATTTTCTTTAGATGCTATTGCGGTGCAACCATAAATGCTGGCTCAGTTCTTCAAGAAAGCACCATCCCGAGTGTCAATGGATGTGATATGTTGTGCGCTGGAGATCCTGGCGAATACTGTGGAGGTTACGTGTCCATATTTTCCATTCAATTACCTTCCTACAGAGATATATCTACTAATACATAACAACAGGTGGCTCTAGACTCAACATGTACCAATTTAATGGCACTATCTCGATACCATCAGGACCAATCACAGTCATGAATTTAACGGGCTGGAATTATTTAGGATGCTATAATGAATCTACAAAAGGTCGTGCTTTGAGTGGTTTAGAAAATCCAATTCCGGGGATGAATAACAGTGTTGAGGCTTGTTCTATGGCCTGTGATGGGTGGACTTATTTTGGTGTTGAGTATGGTGAGTATGTCTTATCTTATCTTGGTTAGCTGGGGTGAAATTAGTGTTAATGACGACTGGGAACTTTAGGAAACGAATGCTACTGCGGGTCAAACATAAATGCAGGCTCGATACTTCAATCAGGTACATCACCGAGTACTACGGGGTGCGATATGGTTTGTGCTGGCAATGGGACGGAAGTATGTGGAGGGAGTTTGAGGTTAAATTTATATCAGGTTGTGTGAGGGAGGAAAGCATGATGGGCGAGAAGCTTTAGAGGTATAATCGTGAAGAACTGGGCGTCTGACTGGGTGCCTTTGCTTGTAATTGATCTTGAGCTTCCGTTTCTGATGAAGTATTAATACCAGAGTGAGAAGATGAGAGATGTTGAGGATGAAAGGAAGTAAGGAGGCAGGTCATCATTTGCTTTTAGACGGTATTTCATCATTGCGGTGGCTTTAAGTGAACTCCTTAGCAAAATGAGCATTATCTCTTTCGAGTTAGAAAGGATGCATTGGAAGCTCTAATCTAAAGCTCAAAGTCCAAATAAATGAGGAGACTGCGTGATGGATGACTGCGGTGATAACAGTGCTGGGTGCATGAGTTCGATGACGTGAAAAAGGGAAGATTTTCCCGCTCGAGAACTGTTAAGCCGGGAATCTGTGTGGAAATGAGACGGAGTTCAATCTGATGTATGATGAATAGGAAACAATGGGCATAGTAGTACACAATGGGGATGTAACGATGCAAAAATTAAGTCAGGGATAATACAAAATATCGGTAGTACCGAGGAATTTCTATTTATTTCTTTATTGCTTTAAATGAGATGACAGCCTTCGGAGCTTCATAATTTGCGTGCAGTTTCATCTGATTTCCAAACTTTGGCTCTTCTGATTTCTCAGATTCTCTCTCAGAGGTTGAGATGTTGAGTTATAGGCATGTAGCTTGGATGATAGCATAGTTTGAGCCGTCATAATTTGAAAGATAACAGAGCAGGGAGGTATAGTCATGTTTGTGTACAGTCTGGAGGTGTTGATAGATGGGAGATTGAGGTTAGCATAAGAATATATATAATATTGGTAAAGAAGATACGAAGTAACATGGGAATGAAAAAGCATGCTTCAGTGGATGAAGTATAAATTGTGCGGTCACCCACTCATCAGAACACCAGGCTGTGAGAAATGAAATTGGCCATCACTGAAGACAAGACTCACCTGGAATAAAATCTTTAGACGACTAAAAAAATTATTTTTGACCTTAGCACCAATCTCACTTTTGGATCGGCTAGCAGGCTTCAATGTTTTTTCCCACTTTCAATTCTCAACTTCTCCCATCGTTCAACCTTCAACGACGACGACGACAACAACAACATTGACAAAAACCTCTACCATCACCGTCGTCACCATCAATACGAACCCCCAAGCACCTCAGCTCTTTGAATCCTTATACCAGAGTATCCCTCTCAACCACAATTTCTCTTTTCAGGGTAATCACCTCCAAATTCCTTTTTTCCTAAGCGTAACTGACCTTTTCAATTTATCAGTCTTCGATCTTTTGATATTTCGATCTACTCTCTGAGTAATTGCTTATCCACAGCTGGACCAGCCTTACTCGAATCTTGAGATAGGCAGTCATGGAATCGTCAGTGGAGGTCAGAAAGCCAAAGACAGCGGCAGAGATGCTCTTATTCAGCGAGGATCATCTAATGGTCGATAAGTTGACGGGTGTTAATATTCCGTTCACTACTTATCAAAGTCTCAAAAAGATGGCTCCTTATCTGGGACTTCCCAATGCGAACGCGGTCAGCGATTTTCTTAAATCTCCCGAATTCCACCGCCATTATGACTTGCTCTATGAGTCTGCCATCCAGCCGCGTATATTGAGAGAGCCTAACTCCAAAGGTCCCAGTCTCAAAACAGTGCAAAGCATGATCATGGAAGGCGAAGCATACGGTGACTGCAAATACTCTGATCCAGATACGAATATGAAGGGTTGGCAGGATGCTGATCACTATGCCTTATGCTTGTATCGGCTGTGTGTATTTAATTCGACTAGGCGCAACGGTATATTCCTCAACCGAAATATGAGCACGACCGAAAAGCAGGTCAGACTCTGGATGTGTATTGTGAGGGCAACCTCGGATGCGAATCGGCTTATCACAAGAACCAAAGCTCAGAAGCAAAAGAGTTTGAGTATTGACGAGGACTCTAGCGTAAGGGGACTCCTAGATCAGCCTCCATCCGCGGGTTTGTTTCGAGATAATTCTGGAACTCGGATGCCGGATATCTACTCGACTCCTAACAAATCACGAAAGCAACATCAGTTCTCATCTCCTCAATCAACACTGGTGGATAAACCCAACCATCCCATGAGAATTCTGGATCAAGCTGCACTAGAGGCAGCTGAACATGTTAACGACCCCTTCCTCGAACACTCTCTTCGCTCGGAAGACCTGTCACAACAGGGTTCTTCATGAGCATCAACTGGGTCGACTGGATCAAGCGCTATCATTAAGGCTGTTGATAGCTGTTTTGCATTACTGGATAAAATAAGGACTTGAAGTTTGCAGGCTGGTGCTTACTTTGTATTGAAAGGGGTGGGTGGTTTGCGATGCTGGATCGGTACGGAAGGAGGAATGAGAGAGATGGTAGCTGGATCGAGAATGAGAGACGTTATATAATAAATGGAAATTAGAGGACACTTCTTGATTTTCTGAACCTGAGAGAACAGAATCCACCAGGAGTATATATATTAGAGCTCACCTGTGATCATTGTGTTGTGTATGTGTGTGCTGTAGGTGAAAAGCTTGTTAGTATTCGGTTGTTTTGGTTTGGGTATCAAAAATGAGAGAGAAAGTTGGAGTTGGAGATGGGAGTTGAACTCATGTTGCTTTGATAATATAGACATAGTAATGTACGATATAATTTGCGGATGTTGGTGCAAAATTGGTATAGTAAATAGAGAGTAGGATGAAAGAGAATAAGCATAGTTTGGGGGAGGAAAGACATGATGATATGATATAGAGATGATGTTGAGGGAAGAGATTCGGAGGAAAATGAGGCTTCGAGTGAATGTTTGTTCGGAGAGAAGATGCGATGATATGATAAAGAAATGAATGACAAGAGCGTTCTAGGGATAGTATTAATTGATGTAGCCTTAATCGCGGGAGTGTACATGACAGAAATTCTAAGGCAACAGCGGGACTAGCCAAATCCATTGCTGTATATCTCCATCTAGTGACTCTAGAGCTCGAATGCTTTTTTTTTCAACAAGCAATTTCATTTCACGAATTTTTGTAGCAGGAAGACTGACGAGAAGCGGCAGCATTGTCAAAAAATGGGAATTTGAGTTCGCGTGACTCAATCAACTATCTCAAGCTCACATTACGAAATAAGTAAATTCAATTCGGTAACCTACTAAACTAAGGCTAATCTTTCCGAACAAGGGTTGAAAATTATTCGGGGAAGTCACGAATGAGTATTATATTTGGAGTACCCAGAAAAGGAGACGAAGTCTTTAACGAAGTCTTTAACGAAGTGGGAGTATTCTGATATGAGGTGTGAGAATAGATCAAACGACGAGCAAATAGTTCGCATACGAGGTGCGGATGTAATAAGAAATGAGTGAGATCTACCAAATCCGGCGTTGAGTGAAGTTCAAGTGGGGTAAGCACAGACCTCAATATGACTGTGAACTTCAACATCATTCATGTTCATGATCATCCTATTGCACTCGTCTCATCATGTTTTGCACTCACATCATCTCGTTCGGTGGATTCATTATGGAAACAGTTCTGTGAATAACTCCTTGAATTGAAAATGTTCTTCGTTGTCAATCCAAAGACACTTGGGCACAATGAGGCAGTTTTTGACTTCGTCTCGAGATTCTCCATGGCCTCTTGGAAAATGGTATATTGATGGAGTAGAGTGAAGTGATGGGTATATCTGCTCTAGCATCATGATACGATGCGGCTCTTGAGATGTTCTTGCTTGATGGCAAGCGCCTTTGCCATGGTCATATGTGGCTACTTGACTGGTGAGGAAACCAAGAGAACAGTCAAGCGTTCTTGTGAAACGGGTTTCGAAGTCCCAAATTTCTATACACGTCCAACTCTGAGAGTGCAGTTATATGAGTGTTTCGAGGATTTTACTATCTCGAACTAAATCATTAGAAGTTCGCATGTGTGCCAACAGCTATATCCCGCTCAACAAGCAAAGGATCTCCAGATTGCGTGGATGATCTGCACTGAAATAGCAGTCTTTTTTGCTTCTTTTTTATGAGCTCATTGGCAAAATTGCTCATATTTTCTAGGTAAAATGTCTGTCGTTACTGTGAAAGAGGTCAGAAAGCTACATCAAGTAGACTGCCAACGCCAAAACCAAGTGTAGCCCGAAAGAAGCTTGTAAAAGACTTATGGAGCTAATTACAACTCACCTTTCTTTACATATTCACTAATCGTCGTCTAATATACCAATCCGACAAGATTGCACTAGCCCCCACCCCGTGAACAATAATCCCACCTTCAAACTTTTGCGACCAACAACAAAACAAGACAACAACAATACAGATTCTAACCTTGAGTTTCTATTCTCATACACAAAGCTTTACTCTCCTATCAATTGAATTGTTCGATCATCGTAGATTGAGAATTGCTTCTAACAGAACTCAATTTGCGTCTATAAACCGGAACAAGTTTCTCCTTTGAGCCATCTTCATTACATCCATTCCTCAGAACTTAGTTTTACTCTCACAAAAAGCAGAATCTCCTCACCCCTCCCTTTCGCAATCAAGAAGGGTTTCCTCAAAGGGATAATCTTCACCACGAAATCATCACGATTCAACTCTCTTAGTTCATCGAAATTGGCATCGAAGAGCATCGAAATTTCCGCATGTGAGCGAGCGCCTTCCAGAGACGAGACACCAGTAAAGATACTATATAGTTTCTCAGCTCACCCAAATGTCTGAGAACTACGAGTAAAGGATTGACACTTCACGCGGACAGTTTGTATCGTCGTCATCAGATGTCGCGTGCTATTGATGAAGGCGGGAAACTGACCGCAGAACTCCTGTCAACCCAACCTACAACCGCTACTGATGTGACACCCAGTGAGAGTCTTGTCAAGAACCATTCTCAGTTAATAAAAGTTGAGAATGACACTACAGACGTCAATATCAAGCTAGAGCCGAGGTTCCCCTCACCAAGAGCAGCCTCTATCGATCCTCAGGTGCCAAGACAATCTCTATTTTCAGGAATGTCTCATTCCTTGGGTGTTCTGAACCCAAGTAATGTTCTGAGCACTCCGGGTTATAGTGACATTAACATATCTCATAGCAAAACCTCATCTTCAGGAGACAAGAAGACGGCCACTCGGAGAGCTACAGCAAGAACACCCAAGGAGGTTTTTGCTCGTCAAGCTGAAAGCAAGGCCAAGAAGCTCGCGGCAAAAAGCTTGAATGCCACAGTAGGTGGGCGTGTAACAAAAGCTACCAGCCAAAAGACCAGAAACAAGAAGTGTCAGTCTGGCGAAGCCACTTCGGAAAAGTTGAAGAGTAAATTTACAGCTGCAGACCCATTTAATCTGGATCTTGGAACGGAAGCTCCGATAATTCAAGCACGCACACAACGTGAGCAATTTGATAAACTTCGTGCGGCCTACCCCGAGTATAATAACAAAAATAAGCGTGGAGAAAGTATGACTTCATTGATAAAGGCGAGTCGAAGCTTTGGTTACGGAAAAGTACATCCTCTAGATGGAAGATGGAAACTTCAGGGAATGGACTCTGGTAATAAGAGCCACCAAATGCATAAGAACTTCCACTGATAAGTAGTGCAGCATTACATCATCATCAGTTGATTGGAGCATCTCGGATGCTCGAACGCGAGTGTTCCGAAGAAGGCCCACAAGGAGGCATCTTGGCAGATTGTATGGGACTAGGAAAAACTATTCAATGCATAGCGGTAAGCTCATCTATCTCAGATATTTATTCAAATACTAACTAAATAGGCCATCATTGGAAACCCTCCAGACTCCAATAAGATCGTGGCTGAGGAGCGGACAACTCTGATTGTGGTTCCCAGCGGACTCGTATGTACAAATCCGGCAAGATGCAAAATAAAACCCCGAACTAACGAATTACAGCTTCTTCAATGGCTTGATGAGCTCAAGAAACATGGTGGAAGTACTATCAAGAATATAGACATTTATAACCGTTCTGATAGACGAGATGCTATACAATACACATTGTCAAATGTGGTAATTACCACGTATGACGAGCTTATGACAAATTTGCCGTGGCTGAGAGAAACTGCTAGTAAAAGCAGTCGGACGAAGAAAAGTAAAGGTAAAAAGAGAAATGCAGCAGATGAAGAAGTTCCACCCATGGAGAACTTTCCCCATGATAAGTCGGACACCGCAGGTGTCTTATACGATGTCAATTGGTATCGAGTAAGTTTTGGGTTGACCCGAAAGATAAACAAATATTTCTAATACATATTTTTAGGTAATTATCGATGAAGGGGTGAGTAATTCTCCATTCGGTACAACCAATTCTTATGCGGCGTACTCATGTGAAACAGCATGGTACCAGAAATCATGATTCTAGAGCAAGTCGCGCTGTGAATGCCTTGAAGAGTAGATATAGATGGGTCGTGACTGGTGTAAGTTATCCAATATATACCCCTCATTTGAGAAATGCTGAAAATTTGTTTAGACACCATTTCAGAATCGTCTGCAGGGTATTGTGCTCGATTGACCCTCACACTGCAAGCACTAATGCTTATCCATCTAGATTTCTACAGCTATTTTCGCTTTTTGAAGGACCCAGAAACTACCACAATGTCGAGGTCAGTTGTGCATAGATAGCTCTTGTTATTCCCAATATTAATATTTTGTTAGATTTTCAGCCGACTTCTGCAATTCCAAATATGCTAGTCATCACACCATGTTATTGAATCCTCAGTATTAACAATTGTTTAGGAAGAATGTATCTCTCGGATGGAGAAAAAATTGGGCAAATTAATGATCCGGTGAGTACATGGATATACAATTTCGCCATGGAATATACAGGAATTCATGTGCTAATATATATTAGGAGGACAATGGAAGATAGAGTACTTGGTAATACGTTGATACAACTGCCTAAAGCTCATCATAAAGCCATCAAGGTCGACTTTAATGCCGCGGAAGAAATTTTATACCGAGCAGTAGAAGAAAAATTTCAGGAACTGAGAGACCAAGACCTCGAAGATGATGACCCACGGAAACCAATGTCGTATAAATTCGCCCAAATTTCTTTTCTGAGACAGTAAGTATTCTGGTCTCTGCTCGTATAATCTCACTAACTATCATCCAGACTGGTGTCTCATCCAGCATTGGTTGAGCGAAAGATTATGGTCTGATTGCTTCTCAGTAATTTTATGTCTTAAACTTACAGACGATAGGTACTTTTTGATAACCATGAACTGGAAGAGATTAGAGATAAGGTTCAAGTTCTGGATCCCGTATTATATCGACGTAAGAAATCAACGCACAATTCACACAAACTGCATACTGATTGAAGCTGTAGGCATCTGCTCTTGGATTAGAGGTGAGAGAGCAAAGGTAGCTGCCGAGTATAAGCATTCGTTGGATCAGCAAATAAAGATATGTGAATTCTGCCAAGAAGATACAGAAGATCTAAAAGAGATTCCCGGATGTAAACACTTATTTTGCGACTTTTGCTTGAATGAAAATCCGGATATTGAGCTTGCAGAAAATGGAACAGAGGCAAGTTCTAACATTGATGAATCGTGATCATATCTCTGACAATTCTTTAGATGCGTAAATGCAGAGCTTGCGATGAGCCGTACGATCCTTCTGAGCTGGAGAGAGTACAAGAGCAGCAAGAAAGCGCCCAAATGGGGATTAAGAAAAAAGGGATGAAGGGAAAGGATTTCCGCAATTACATTCCAGGTACACCTAAGTCTATATGGCTGGATCAGTACGACCGAGGAATGATTGATCTGAGGCCAGGCTCGAAATTAGAAGCTGTAATTGAGCAGGTTCGAGAGTGGTTGTCCGAATCACCAAAGGAAAAAATCATCATCTATACGCAGTGGAAAATGGTGAGTACTATCATCGGTCGTATGCTCGAGAAAGAGAATTTTAATTTCCTTTATTATTCGGTAAGCTTGAAAGTTCCCATGGTTGAATATGCGTTTACTGAATATTATTATCAAGGGCGACATGACCCAAAAAACACGATCTGAAGTTATTCGATTATATAAGATGAATCCCAAGGTCAAAATCCTCGTTTCTGGCCTCAAGTGTGGAGGAGTAGGCTTAAATTTGCCCTTCGCAAACAAGGTTATATCAGTGTATGTAATCTGTCTTCTCTAATCTTGGATCAATATACTAATGCTCTATAGTGAGTTGTGGTGGAATCCCTTTGCGTATGTGAGAAGGACTAAGACGCGTGATCACAGCTAAATTTAATATAGTGAAAAGCAAGCTTTCGGTCGTGTCTACCGGATTGGCCAAGAGTTAGAAACAATATTTGCGAGAGTTATTGTGGATAATACAATAGAAGATAGACTTGCTGATTGTAAGTTGCTCATTCAGCCCTGCCAAGTTGAAATTGCTAACAAGTCTGAACAGTGCAACTTAAGAAGCTTCGCATCAATAGTATCGCTATGCAGGAAAAACTAAGTAAGGAAGAGGAGGCCAGTTTGCTGGAGCGTGCTGAATCTGAAAAGCCACTTGACCTTAATGCAGCGGACTGTAATGAGCATTTTATCAACGCCCTTGCAGGCACAGATCCTCGCCTTAACTCGAATACTGATACTCTATCAGAATCCGTCCAAGGATTGTTTGGCAGAACCCCTGGAGAGTCCCCTGAAGATAAGATCATGGAAGATGTCGATGATAAGACAGACGAAGAAGGGGATTTCTACGAGTCCGACTCCGACAGCGACGATTCTATGTCGGACGCTCCATATGCTGAGTCTATGCAGGCTAAAGTAGAGACGGAGGAAGGAGACGGTGACTAGAAGTTTTCACGCATTTCATGTGCCAATAGACCTTGCCCCTGTCTGGCTAGTCATGATCTATCAGCCTTTCAAAGACACTCCACTCAGTACAGCCACCTTCCCTGGTATACATTATCAAAATACCCTAGAGAGTTCTACTGGATTTCTCAGCAAGTAAATGACATGTCTCTATCCCCACAAACACCGATTTCATATCATTCTCGCGGCATCTTACCGAGTCCTCATTTTCGTTCTCAGCAGTTTTTCTTATCAGCATTTCCGTCAACTATACCTAAGAATTTCAAACTTCGTATCTAATCGGCACTATTGACACATTCGCTGCAGAGATTTTCATTCCATCCCGGAGAACTATCAAAAACAATTTCGAATTCATTATCTTTCAAGACCCCCCACCAAAAGTTTTATCCCCACGCTTTCATCAATATTCACCTCGCGTCACCAACTTCCAAGATTCACCTCCATCGCATTTTCAACCCGACATTTTCGCTGTCACTAGCAACAGTCTTTGCTCCTTGCTCAGAACTATTGTTATCATCGACGACACTTATCGGCCTTTGCTCGAAACCCTTGCTGTCATCCCCGACACCTGATATCCCGCATCTAGAATATCTCCTATCTTAAACGACACATGGCAACTTCTCAGCTAGGACGAAATGCATGGATGGAAATCTGGAATTCCCCTTTCACACAAAGATCACAAGTAGCACCATTTCGTTAGCACGAACCCAGTTATCTTTTCTCATAGCGAATTTTATCACGATCAATTTTTATTTTATTTCTTTAGATGAAAATAGGCACGCAAGCGAAAAGTACTTGGTCACATACATATCTTACCCCTCTCGGGATATGAATAGGAAATGATCATCTCTTTTCAAATGATGATGCAATCTATACTGCGTGATATATGTGAATCCGATAGTGAAGTGAAAAGGTTCTGCGATTTCGTAATCACATGAGATCTTTCCAATACTATCACGGGTGTCTCTTTCAGGAACTATATATGAGAAGTATCTCACTACGAATGATGCCTTCTGATGCCTAGATTCGGATGCGTCCTAGCTTGTACTATATGCGCTCGGCTATGTGATACCCCACTAAGCTCCGTAGCGTCTTGCATTTCTTTTCGCCTTTAGTCTTCCCATTTCCATCTCCATTTCTACTCTCCATGATCTTCCCACGTCTTTCCACCTCCTCATCCACAAATTCCTCCTCCCTCCCCCTCATTCTCATTCCTTGCTCTCCAGAATTCCTTGAGCATTCCTCTCATATCTGCGCCCATCCCCATCCACATCCACAGTACCCCCGCCTCCCCTCCACTGTCCCGTTCCCCCAACATAACCCTCAAACGTACCTCTCATTCCCCTACCTACTCCAGATACCCCTTAGAACAACCCAGTCCCTTTAACAGAAACAACAACAACAACAACAACAACAACAGTATACCCTCAAACTCCACAGCCAATGAAAGAAAGTAATAAATGCGACTACGATGCTCACTGAGCTATAATATAACCAACAGTATCTGTCCAAAATCCTCCCAGATATTCTCTCTTATCTTGTGATCAAATCCCTTCGAAAAAAACCCACTCAAACAGGTACCTCATAATCTCCTCAGCAGTCTACTCCAGAAACCCAACCCAACCCAACCCAACACATCTCAACCCCCAAAACACAGCGTATCAAAACAAGACAAATCAAAAACACCGCAGACAAAGCAAACCAAACATGTTCGACAGGCAAGGTGCACGAAATCAAAATGGTATCATTACTGCTTTAATAAATTTCCCTTTAAGCACCCACGGTACCACCCACATATCCACCAATCCATCCATCCCCCTCCCTCCATTTCATTCCCTTCCATTCCCATTGCTTTATCATCCAATTCCCTCCTCGGAGAAAAAAAAAGTAACCCCCCCCCCCATCTCAAAAGAAACAAATGTAACTCAATGTAAAGGAAAAGAAATGTACTTGATATCCATTCACTCCCATCCCATGCCATCTCAACCTAGCAGATCCTATTCCATTCCAACATATCTCGCACCCCTAAACAAAATCGCCGACTTCATCTCCATAAATACACACCAAATAAGAGAACCAAACGAAAGTCTTTTTTCACATTGCCTATTTCGTACTTTCCACTTGCCATTCACAACAAACCAGATACCCCACATACATTCCATCTTAAGCACCACAAAGATTCATGATCGGGTTTCGAACCCTATCTCGAAACGAAAGAAAAAATTCAGGACCGGACCTTTCCAACTTCCTCGTGACTGATCTTCAGATTCGGCTTAAAGGGAAAAACTGATTTGAATCCGTTGATTCATCGTATTAAGTAAATTATTGAAGCTATCATCTTCAAGTTCAGTGAGGAGGTCGTTAATGATCGATCATGAGTAGGTTTTTTATCCACTTATTCCCAAAATTTCATCCAAATCCACTGCTGACCGGGAAAAATTGTTTTGCGGATGAAATTTTCATCTATCTCTCCCCAACATACCCTTCATTAACCTCTGCCTCATTTCCTCACCCCCGTCAAAACCACCTGCACTACCGCCTGCCCCATAACTTCCACTTCCCGCTCTATTATTCCTTAATAAATCATTCGCGCCTCCATCAAATGCATTGCCCAATCCAGAGCTCGTACCATAAATGCTATTGGTATTTGCATTGCTTCTCGAACTACCACCACCTAAACTATTCATATTCGTTTGACCGTAAGCAGACGCGGATGTATGGCCCAAGGTAGGAAGATCAAGAGTGGGAAGATCAATGTAAGAAGGATCTGCATATTGATTATAAGATTGTTGTTGATGAGTTGTTGGGGTAGTACGAGTATAGGATGAGGTTTGATTCAAAGCGGAAGGTTTATAATCAGGTTGAGAGTAGGATGGAGTTGCAGTAGAAATAGTTGTTGTGCGAGGATTATAGGATGCTTCTGGTTGCGAATAAGTTGGTGAAGGATTAGCGAGGGAAGATGAAGTTCGGTATGACGTATCAGGTTGAGAGAAAGAAGGTGATGATTGAGCTATGGTGTGAGGACTAGCTGTCCGGTAAGAATTTTCGGCATGTGCAAATTGTGGTGAGGCTTGGGTCATGGTACCAGCTCGGTAGCTGTTACCCATCTGAGGTGATGGTTGGTGAGCGCTATATCGTTGGTTTGCTTGCGGATTTGAGGAATATTGTGAGACATAATTAGTACCACTATGATTCGGGAAATAACTATTCGAAGCATTTCTCGGAACATTTTGTGTCATCTTTTGAGTCTGATCATCGCGTGGGTGGCCTTGTTGTGACGTCTGATGTTGCATTTGAACTTGCTGAGGCTGTTGAGAAGTTTGCTGGGCCATTTGCTGTGGTGTTGATTGTGGAATCGATGCAGTTTTTTGATGTTGACGTCCTTGAGGTGTGATTGTTGAAGTTGTAGGAGTGATACTGCGTCCATTCTGTTGTCCGAGATCTTGTTGGAATCGAGCGTAATGAGCTTCCAATCCATCAGCAGGTCGAGTTACAGGTGTATTTTGTTGCGTCTGTTGAATACTTTGTACTGAAGTAGCCGGGGAATCTGGAATAGAACTTGGTGGGATAGGAGGTGTAGCATTACTAACAACCGAAGAACCAGGTTTTTTGCCAGTGGAAGGACCATTGGTTCCAGGAACTTTTGGCTTTCGCTGCCGTTTAGGAGGTGGTGGAACAAGAGTTTCAACCATTGGAGGTACAGATTCCCATTGCACAGTGGATGTATCTTTTTGCACAACGGGAATTTCAGCAGGCGCGGGTAAAGGACTGATGTTCTTAGAAGTATGACTAGTTTGCGATTGCGATCCTGACATGTTTTGAGATGCAGCCATTGGAGCAGTTTTAGGCTTATTGGGACCACGCTTTCGTTTTGTACCGCCAGCTGTGGGAGTACCATTGTTTACGGGTGTGCCTTGGGTCGAATTGAAACCAGTAGGTCCTTCTGCGGGTGTTTGAAATGCTTCGATAACAGCACGTTCCTCAGGGCTATATTGATCTGGCGGAAGAATTGAAGAGGTATGATTATGGTTGTTATTTGAGTCTGGGTTCCAATGTTCTGCCGAGTATGTGAGTTGTGGCTGACCACTCTTATTGTTTGCGTCTGTCACTGGAACAATTGGTGATTCCTTCGTAGAAAGGGGTTTATCGGCCACCATCTTTGCAACTGCTGCGGGTTGATGCTGGACGTTTTGTTCCGATGGCGCTGGATCTGCTATAGTAGTATCGACATTATTCAACCCACCAGTACTCTCACTCCCCGCTGATACTTCCTTTCCCTTGTTTCTTGATCCTTTAGGTCTACCCCTTCTTCGCTTGCTTGTAGATTCGGTATCAGGAGCGTGGTTCTCGATTTGTCCTTTGAGGGGAGTGGCTGGTCGATCTGACTCTGTCTGAATCGGTCGACTAAAGTTTGGACTAGCCATTGCCGCTGATGGAAGTGGTGCGGCTGCTGCTGCTACCGGTATTGGTGGAGCTGCCATCGGAGGCGCAGTATTAACTAAAGCTACAGATTGAGGTAATCCCCAAGTTGGAGCTTGAACAGCAGGACCGAATCCGAATCCGTTTGCGGGACCAGGCGCTTCGGATGTGCCATTCTCCGGACCTTTCGAGTCTCTCGGTGGTCTTCCACGACCCCTCTTTCCCTTGGCAGATGGTGGTTCTTGTGGCCTTGGTATTGGTGGTGGTTCAGGGTTGGCCGAAAGATCGGGAAATATTTCTGCCAGCCATCCTATAAATAATGCTCCAGTCTCTCTTGTATTCGCACTTTCAGGAAAGATACCATCTTCCGGTGGTGGAGCACCAGGTATACCCCCAAAATATGCCACTGCTTTACAAACCTGATCGACAACAGTAACTGGATTGATGCTTCTTAATAATGTCAACAATCGCGCTTGTTCGTATTTAGTCTCATCCGGAGTTAGCGGCCTCGCACGTTGTTTGTGATCATCTCGTGAAGCAAACGGCGACGCGCGATTCCCACC